TTTTAATAGTCTGGTACACATTTCCCGGGACTTCTTAGGCGCTGGTATATACAAGGCTGGAGGCTCCCACTCCGTTATTCCAGTTCAGGTTTTGGAACTACAGGTTTTGGAACTACTCACTCGCATTGTTTCCCCCTGCAGCGTCTCAATGACTGTCTGCTAGTCACATAATGTCGATGATACTTTCCTTTGCCTAATCCGGGAAGAGCGATCACAGTAGAGCGCAGACGATAAGCACACTTTTGCCGCGGATAAAACAATAAATCACCGCGGGAGTCTTCAAGAGGATCTCCGCAAGGTATACTCAATGCCTCCCGGCTGCCGCCGCCATCTTGATGCGCGTCAGCCAGATAAAGGTAAAAAGGGTTGGACTAAAGAAGTCATGATCTTAATTCATTCATTATAGAAATGAATGTAGATCAAAGAAATGTTGACATTTTTTATATTTGTAGATAATGATCACAGAGTGATTTCCCATATAAATGATAACTGATAAATGCAAGACAGATGAACAATTCTTTGTAATTTAGTTATTTTATTTTGACATCGTCACAGAATGGAAACACGAATGACAAGCTAACCGCTAACGAATGCTACTGAAGCTGCACTCGCTGTTTTAGAATAAAAGCGAACAATCAAATTAATCAGATTAGTTTGATAGGTAATATCAGAAATATGGTGGTAATTAAGTTATATTTTATCCCTTTAAACAACAGAGAGTTATAATAAGATAGAGATTCAACAGAAAAGCAAAGCTACACGGAGCTACAATCACAAACCACTCAGCAGGACGGTACACAGGAAACAGGAGCGGTGGTATGAGGGAGAAATGTTTACAAAATGACATGAGTAAAACATAAGAAATACAGAAATAAAATGAATACAAACCCTTTCATAAAGCTCACAAAGCTTTAAATGTATTTAAAACAGTTAATTTATTTAAAGCAATAGTTTACCCAGATGTAAAAAATAAAATAAAAAATGGTCATCATTAAACTAATGAAAGCTGTTATGGCAATGTGTTTATTAGCAAACATTAACAAGCACATTATCTCACGTGTCTAACTCTTTGAATATAGATTAACTAATGATCCATTAAGCATTATATAAATGTTTAATGATTTATTAATGAAAGTTATTATAAAGTATTACCGGATGTTTTACTGGATATTGCTGACATTTGCCATGTTTCATTGGTTATATTTCATTTAATTTTGCTCCCAATATGCAGCAAATTAAAACCAGTAAAAGTGTGTCTGTAAAATCAAGCTAAAATATTGCCAGAAATGTGACCCTGGAGCACAATACCAGTCATAAGGGTCAATTTTTCGAAATTGAGATGTATACATATTACTAATCAAAAATTAAGTTTTTATATATTTACAGTAGGAAATGTACAAAATATCTTCATGGAACATGATCTTTACTTAATATCCTAATGATTTTTGGCATAAAAGAAAAATTTATAATTGTGACCCATACAATGTATTGTTGGCTATTGCTACAAATATACCCCAGCGACTTAACACTGCTTTTGTGCTCCAGGATCACAAATTGAGTGTCCCCAACTATGTCACAGTGTTTGTTGTGGTGACCTGGACTGGTCACTTGAGGGCGCTCTTCTGTTTTACGTTGTTTGTGTTAAACTCCATTTCCCATAGTCCCCTGCTCACTAATCCTGGTTGGTCCTCTTCCGTTGGCTGGTCCTGGCCCGCCATCCCTCCCCCTGGTCCGCCTCTATTCCACCTCCCTCCTGAACTTTTGTGTGTCTGGTGGAGCATCTGGTATCCGCTCCGTAGAGGGGGGGTAATGTCACAGTGTTTGTTGTGGTGACCTGGACTGGTCACTTGAGGGCGCTCTTCTGTTTTACGTTGTTTGTGTTAAACTCCATTTCCCATAGTCCCCTGCTCACTAATCCTGGTTTATCGGTAACACCTGTTCATCATTAACCCAGCTATATATATATCATGCCTTCTCTGTCTGTCATTGGCGTCTGGATTGTATTGTCTTCTTAGTTGGTGTTGTCGGTGTCGGGTTTTGGATTACCTTTTGCAACGTTTTTGTTCTGTTTTGTTCTGTTATTATTTTCAATAAACTGCACATGGAACTTACCTTGTTTCCTCCTGGCATTCCGTGACAAACTAAGCAAGCCTAACTGTGCCTAAATATAGGCCTAAACCTTTAAAACATTCCCTATTTAAATGAAAGTGAGGATGAACTTTTAACAATAATCTAATTTATTTTGAGCCTTCTGCAATTTATACTGTGCATACTTTCACACTCAACTACTGTACCAAAAATATACTGCATAATCAAAGTGTGCTTGTACATGTATCTGTCACAAATATATTCACCTAGTTTCTGTTTCAAGGACTTTTAACAACTTAAAAAGGTCAAACCAAGGGATGCAGGTTTGGCTGTTTAGCATGGCCCTCGATGGTGTGATTAGCTGAACATCTACAGGTTAAACCAAGAGCCCCACAGTGAAAGTGGTATTATTGCCTCAACACTGTACTATGATGCCTTGACTGTTTATATTCATAGAAACCAATGCAGGGCATAGCATTCAGTGACTGTTCAGTGTGACTAAAGCAAATGGCGTTCATTACACGTGTTTAAAGCAGTCTCATCCTGTGCAAACCTTCAGACCATTCAAATTATTTTGTTTGGTTGGCATCACCAAGGCCATGAGGGATTTTTGTTCATTTGACAAATTGACAGTGTTTAGCTATTGGTTAATATCGAAACTATTTAGCAACTTAGTCATTGTTTGAGTCTACTGTCATACTGTAAGGGTGGATTTACACTACATGTGCAGTTTACAGTCTCTGCAAAACAAATATAAATCTGATCTTCAGTTCCTTGCAGCAGGTCCCCTACAATCCACTGCAAACTCACATTCAGCTCAGTCCTGACGGATAAACTCAAGCCAGCACCCACCCAACGTTTATTCTAGCTGAAAACCCAGTTTCACTCATAAAAACATCAAATTCCAAAAGTTGCTAATGCCTTAATTAAACATTTGTGTCTTTCACAAAAAAATTTTTTTCACTTTTACTTCAGTATCAGTTTGTGGCATCCTCTCTGTGTCTGCTACAGTACATTCACGATGGATTTACTTCAACACTGAAAACCCACACATAAGGTACAGTCATCAGAGCACTGGCTCTCTCTATGAAATATCCCCACCTCCTCATCTGGGCCCTGTACTTTCTTCAGCTCTGTGACCAAACAGGGATTGCTGGTAGCTCTCAACAACACCTGCATGAATATGAGAACTAGAGCATTGACTGCTAGTTAAAGGTGAGCTAATGAGGCCAGTTGACGAAATGTTTCTGCGTGATGATGATGATGATGATGATGATGATGTTTTCATTAAAAAAGCTTGTCTTGTCTGGAGACCTTGCAGAGCTGAAACTGGAAAACATCAGCAACACTTAGCTCTGTTTCCTCATGAGCTATTCCAAGATGAATGTCAAGCTTCACGAAGTCTACAGAGAGGTTAACACTCCAAAATCCAAAAAACTGCTCCAAATCCACAGAAAAAAAAGGATCTTAAGCACACATGCCTGCAGTTTACTGTAATCATAAAAAGTGTTTCTATTTGGGACAAATAAAATCCAACATGCAGAATTAGATTTACTTCCAGTCTTCAACAAATGAAAGTGTCAAGTCAAGTTTGTTTGTGGTGATTTCTGTCCTGCGTGGAAAATACAGTACGTCCTGAAGCACGTTTAACATAAAAGTATGACCCTTCACAATTCTGGCCTGTGTACAAGTACTGTGTAAAAGATAAACAGGGAGTTATTTCCTTTAGTGAGAGATCTGTGTTTTGAAGACATCACAGTGTTTCCACTCATCAGGAACGTCACCTACCGAAGGCTGTATTACACAGAGTTTCAGGAAAGCATTGTAAGAAGTCGTGTCTGGCCTCAGCTGCACCTCTGAACGCTGAGCATCTCAAGGGCACCATTGAAAAACGGACCTTTTCTCTCCGTCTGTAGGTGGAAATGAGTCTCAACGCACTGACTGACATCACACATAAATAAAAATGCTATGCTGTCGAGTGTGTGTTTGACGTGTGGAGTTTCTGTGGGACTGCGTCTGGGCCTCAGGAGGAAAGAAACTGAGTGAAGAATAGAAAAGGCTTGATGGAAAGCCCGATAAACAGAGGACAATGAGGATGTGACTGTGTGACACATGCCAATTATATAATTAGGTATAAACGCTGATGAGAAAGGAATAAAACCGAAAGAGCAGACATTGCTGAAGCAGTGACTGTAGATTCATATACTGCTTTGATAGTATCATCATAGCAATAGTCACACCAAGACGTGTTTCCCAGAGAATACATGGACTGCTAAAGTGTGGTTGGAATTTGCTGTCAGTCACTTTCTTATGTCATCTGTGTAAATGTTAATTTTTGATATTAGCACAGCATAACACGTGATTGAAAACTCCTCATGTGTTATGCTTTCCAGTGAATTATTTGTAATGATTCACTGAAGCCATTATTAAAATGAATTGCTCATTGCCGTTCTGACGTGGTGTGGAATGATATTTATTTTTCGAGGCAGGTCATTATTTATTTATTTGCCGTTTGTTATTTTGTTCGCACAGCTGCGATTTCAGAGGAACATTTAAATACTGAAAGATGTTTCTATCCTAAAGCAAATTGAGATGTAATCAAGAACGTGTGCTCAATGAAGATGCCTGGTAAATTAAATGCGCAAATCAGTTTCAAAAAGGCCAAGCAATGGAGAAATATCCAGAGATGAGTTCAAAGTCATAAAACATTCAAGCTGGTCATTCAAAATATCTAAAAAAAAATCAGATGTTTTCTAAATGATCCGGCCAGCAGAGACCTGTAAAGCACATAGACTTACATCAGAGAGAAGCTGAGGGGGAAGTGAGGAGAGAGAGGAAACATTCTTCAAGTATGAGGAAATGTTACTGCTCTCCTCCCTCGCTCTTTCTTCCCCAGTCAATCAGGAGTTTTCAGAGCAGTGGAGGAGCAGCAGGAGGAGAGTGAAGCAGCATTCAGCATCAGCAGCTCTGCAGGTAAGACTCTCTCTGTGATCGTTTGATATTAACCCTCTCATGCATGAGTTCTTTAATCACAAGCTTCAGAATCTCCAGCATCTTTTACTTTTTCAAAATGCTTTATGAGAGAGTTGCACATCTGTCCATTGCAAAAAACAATGTAGCATATATTCAGAGTTAGTATAACCCTTTCACCAAACTTGTTGAATTTATTGTCTGATAAATAAAGAAAAAAGTTTTTTCTAAAGGCCTGTCGACTGTCACAGTAATCTTGTGAGCTGTGATGTATCCTCTTCTGAAGACTGGACTAAAGAGGTTCTGCTTACAATCACAATAAAAGCAGCGGTTTTCGTCCTGTCAGGGAAGAGTGGTCACATGATCTCTGACTATATAAATATATATATATATATATATATATATATATATATCACATCAGAATGTGCAGCCTATTACACTAGTGTCTGTCTGTCTGATATTAGTTCATGAAGGCAAATGATGATATGGGAAGCATAAATCATCAGGAGTGGGCTGATATTACATTTCTATATTTCTAGTATATATATTTCTATTTAGCTTTAATTTATTTTTATTTTTATTTCCGTTTTAGTTTTAGAATTGTTGGTACTTCAACTTCAACCTATTATTTCAATTATTTCCTAATTGATTTAACATTTTGTAAAGTTTTATAATCTAATATTTTTATTGTATTTAATTGTGACTAGGCAGCTCAAACACTAGAGCATGACGCTAGCAACACCGAGGTCATGGGTTTGATTCCCCGGCGATGTGTGAACTTGAATAAAATGTATACCTTAAATGCAGTGTTGCTTTGGATAAAAGCATATACAAAAAATATTTCAGTTAGCAGAAACCATTTTTAATAGTTTTTGTAAAAAAAAAAAAGTAACAACACTGTTACACACATTAAGTAATGACACATTTTTCAGATATATGTTTATGAAAAACTCTAGATAAGAGCTGCTTTTACAGCTGGTTTGGAAACAGTGTGTAGCATGGGATCAAGTGAACTACCACTGCACTCCAGCTGGAACCAGCACATTTATCTCTCTCTCCCCCAGAGGAACATTTCATTGCTCTCAGTTCAATCAAATCTCATTTAAAGATGAGGTCATTTTAGCTATAGTATTTTCACCTATCCCAGCTTAAACCCTCATCGATCTGTTTGTTTGAGCTTCCAGACATGGGGTGCATTTCCTAAAAGGGTAACACTTTATAATAGCTTTCATTAATAGATCATTAACAAACATTATGTAATGCTTAACGGATCATTAGTTCATATATATTCATATATCTAGAAATGTGAAATAATGTGCTTGTTAATGCTTACCAATAAATGTATTAAACATTACCTAATAATTAACACTTCATGTAAATTAAAATGCTTACAAATGTCATTAAACTTCTAATTCATATGATCATGCACATCTTCAAAATCTACAAGTGATTTTAACAGCTGTTATGCAATGATTAAAAGCTTGTGTTAATGCACAACACTTCTGCTGCTGTTGAGGTGTGACACGTTAAGTTAGGGACCGGTTTGGTGGGATGGCTAGGTTAAAGGTTAGTTAAGGGGTCAACAAGTATACAGGGGTCAATTTGATTACTATAAGGGAACACAATTCAATCTGTTTATATTGCATTGTTTTGATAAAGAAGTATTTTCTTGAAAATTAGTTTTTACCCTCCTGTTGATGTATGACTAAAGGAATACCCTGTTTAATGATGCACGATATCTTACTAATATAAGTGTTGAGGTGATAAAAACATGTTTTGCACCCAAATTACAATGTTAGCTAAACTTAACTAACCACTCTTTACATAAAGATTGTTAAAGTAGCTAATCGTCCAGTGCCAATAAAGATACTAAAACAATAATAAATGTTTATAATAATTTACAAATGATGAAGAGTCTCCACTTTAGACTGGGTACTGCAAAAACATGAACAAATTATTAATAAATGATTTGTAAAGATGTGAAAACAGAATTCAGGTCATTTGGGACACGTTTTGCCATCAAAATGACTGCTCATGAAGGTACTAATGATTAGTAATCGTTTATAAACATTTACAATTGATGAATAGTTTCCACTTTAGATTGGGTACTGCTGTACTTGTATTTGCTGTACTGCAAAAGCATGAACAAATGATTAATAAATGATATAAGATGTGCAAATAGTAGAAGTCAACACAACAAACAAAGACCATACAAACAAACAGCACATTTTATGCAGGACTGTTTCCTGGGAGAGTAGACTACAATGCCGGCTGTTCTGACTCACAGCCTGTAAGTACGTTTTTTATATTTAAAGAATTTGCCACTGACGATTCAAACGTGAGTTTTGAGCAGTGTAGAGTAGCACTTGTTGTTTGTCATTTCTCTGATCACAAATGCAGACATGGTTTATGTTTACGCAGCGCGATACGCAACACAGCAGCATCATATGACCCCTTTAACATGAATAGTTTGTGAAGTGCTATAAGCTATATTTTCACAACATTTGTACGTGTAAAAATGAGCTTTAGCTAATATGTGAACTGAAGTTTAATGACATTTGTAATCATTCAAAAGTACATTAACAAATAAGCTTGTAAATATTGTATAATTTCTGTAAAAATAATTTGTAGATTTTTAAAACGCATTAAAAGTGACATTTGTAAACATTAGCTAATGATCCGTTAAGCATTATATAATGTTTGTTAACGATTTATTAATGAAGCTTTTAATCATTGTAGACCATCTGTCATCTATCTTTTAAAAAATGCATGATCATATGAATTGAAAGTTGAATGACATTTGTAAGCATTTCAATTTAATTTTCAATTCATTTCAATTAAATAATGATCTGTTAATCATTTGGTAATGTTTAATACGTTCATTAGTTAACATTAACAAGCACATTATCTCATATTTCTAGATATGTGGAAATATATTAAGTAATGGTTAGTTAAACATTATATAATGTTTGTTAATGATTTATTAATGAAAGTTATTATAAAGTGTTACCCCTAAAAGCGCTACACCTGTGGTTAGAAGTTTCTTGTTAGTACTGTATGACATGCACTTGAACAGACCATGCTCTTTTAATGACATCAGTTGATGTTTTATTATTAAACTAACATGGCTCAAATGATGAATAAGTTACTGTGGTTTCAGGAAACACTGCCTAGCTATTTCATGCATCTAAGCACTAGAACTATTGTTCTGCTGATTTTTATGGGAAAGTAGCACTGAAACCAACCAATGAGATGAATTGAGGGCCAGACTATCGGAGAGAGCTGTTTTGGTAATAGTTGTACAGATACTGATATTTCAGTATCAGCTTTGTCTCAGATGCTGAGGAGCTCTCTGTACTCATTCCTTTATTTTCATTTACCACATACTTCTAGAGAAAAGTACAATGGTGCTTCCATGGTACGTTGATGTTATACACTGCCATAGTGCATGTCCAAAATGCCATAGTATGAAATAATGTCCACAAAACATGACATAAAAACTCAGTTCTGTAAAGTAACTCTGTTCTCACCTGGCAGTGCTGACCAGAACTGACTGACTGCTCAGTGGTATTTTCAGATATTTCAATGAAATTGTTCAATCTTAGCATGAAAGGATGTTTGCTTAGGTTGTGACATTTACTTTCTCTGGTTTGATCTGCCAGACAGACATTGGAGCGTCTGTGTCGCAGCTAGAGTCAACATGAAATCAAAGCTGAACCTATTTACTCTCATAATACACACTACTGCTCTCATTACGTGTCTTTCATCAAAAAAGTTTCTCTTTCATCAAAATTAATTTGGCACTGAAACTACTTTCAACAGTCCCTCTTATTATTTTTCACACCGTCCGTTCCACCCCAAAACTTGGAAGTAAAATGGCTTGCAAATGCGGTTTTTATGTTTATCTATCCTATATGGTGAATGTCTAATATGAATTCTGCATAACAAAACTGACTGAAATTCATATTTGTTTGAAACAGGAGGGACAGAGGCTTAAAGGGAAGAGGACACTGCAATGTTTTACATCACTCCAAGTCTAAGAGCCAACAGTGTATCAGCAAATACTGAATTGAAATTTTTCGAGTGCTGAACTGAGTAGAATAAAATACGTTGCCATTTACAAAACAAAACATCATTCATTCATTTGATTGTGTTCCTCTCTTTAAACATGGCATTAGTGTTGCCTTTCCTGCTTCTGCTTCTGCTTCTGCCAAGTCCTGCCCTCTCCAGTCAACATCTGCAGACAAGAGCTCAACGTGTCTCCAGAGACATCAAACCCCAGCCTATTAAACTTGTTATTTCGGACACATGTGCACAAGATGGGGCCACAGAGAGAGAGATAGACTTGGATCCTGATTCTCCTCTGGTCTTGACCCATCGAATCCGTCTGGTGCCAGGGCCAGGTTCAGCTTGTGGTCAGTGTGAGCTGGAATTCGCAGCCCTGCGTGAGCGTATTGAAAGACTGGAGAAGGAGGTGTCTGATCTGAGGGAGAAATGTGGAGGTCCAGAAGGATGCTGCAGCTCCCAGCAGAGCAAAGGTAAAGCCCTTCATGATGGTGACCAATTCCAGCCACACTCCAACCAGACCAGCTCTCACAAGCTTGTCAAAACTAGATCTGTAGTTTATCCTAAAGGATGTGTGTGCAGGATGTCTGGAATCTCTATCCTGACCAATCCTAAAGGATTTACTTATAGAGCATATTTAGGTCTGATCAAATCAGATCCTACTAGATAAACTAAAAGTAATAGTACTACTAGTAGTATCGGTTTGCTTTTCAGAATATAATTCCAAATGTATCTAGTAATAAATTAATTATCAGGGGATTCATAGAAAGTCCTTATTTATCCCATTTAAATCCTTCAGCATTTGTTCCAGATAATCCAGATAATTCCATAAGCAATCCAGTGCATTCAGTTTCTCATGCACAATCCTGCTTATTTCCAGGATGTATCTTTGATACTACTTCTACTACTACTAATAATAACAGAATAGAAAAGCAACATTTGCTGAATCTCATCTAACATTTCATACTGCAGTCCTGTTCTCAATCAATATATTTGTCTTGTTTTCTAGTATAAATTATTCAATATCCTTTTATTGGATAATTATTAGTAATATATGAAGAATATACCCAGTGGAATGCAAAAACGCATCCTATGTGAAAAGTCCCTAAGTGTGAATGGCTGAAGCTGCTCTAGTAAACACAACTGTTTCAGATACAGTATGACCATTGCTTCGATGATTAGATATACATTTGAACAATGTGAACAGCAAAATATGAACAGGAAAAAAATGTATGCACAACGGACTGTGAAAGGATGAATGTAGTTTTTTTTTTTTTTTGCTGAAAAAAAAAAGGACTGGGGCTCAATTTCAATTCAATTCAAGTTTATTTGTATAGCGCTTTACACGATACAAATCATTGCAAAGCAACTTTACAGCAAATTAAGTTTCTACAATATATTTAGTAGTAGCTTATCAGTGGTGACTGTCAGTTAATGTACATATGGCAGAAATGTACGGAAAAATCAATTAAAGACATAATCAAACAGACGATGAACACTATTAACAGCAATTATTATATGATGCAATCAAACTTATAGCAAAATGTGGTAGTTCTGTATGTTGTTTCAGGGTTGGCATCATCTGAGGTCCTCTGAGGGGTTGCATCATCTCTTCTCAGGTGTTCTGGATCCAGACTGAAGCTTGTGTGAATCCTAGTTACCACGGGATGTTAATCCCGTGGCAAAAGACAGAGAAACAAATACAAACATAATTAGCGTAGCTGCTGTTCCAACCAAGCAAAAATGATTTGTTTAACCCAAACTAACGAATAATAATGTGCATTTGATCAGATATAACTTCAGTATAAGATTATGAGATGCATTATTTGAATGCTTGGCCAAAGAGATGTGTCTTTAATCTAGATTTAAACAGAGAGAGTGTGTCTGAACCCCGAACGTTATCAGGAAGGCTATTCCAGAGTTTGGGAGCCAAATGCGAAAAAGCTCTACCTCCTTTAGTGGACTTTGCTATCCTAGGTACTACCAAAAGTCCAGAGTTTTGCGACCTTAGGGAGCGTGATGGATTGTAGCGTGGTAGAAGACTAGTTAGGTATGCAGGAGCTAACCCATTAAGGGCCTTATAGGCAAGTAATAATATTTTGTAACTGATACGGAACTTAACAGGTAGCCAGTGCAGAGACTGTAAAATTTGGGTAATATGATAATATTTTCTTGACCTGGTAAGGACTCTAGCCGCTGCATTTTGGACTACCTGTTGCTTGTTTATTGAAGATACAGGACAACCAGCAAGCAGTGCATTACAATAGTCCAGTCTAGAAGTCATGAATGCATGAACTAGCTTTTCTGCATCAGAAACAGGTAACATGTTGCATCAGAAACAGGTAGCTTGGCAATGTTTCTAAGATGGAAAAATGCTGTTTTTGTAACATGGGAAATATGATTTTCAAAGGACAAGTTGCTGTCTAATATAAAACCCAGATTTTTCATTTTTGGTCAATTCATCTCATTTTGGTTTTTGGTCATCCAATCATTTACATTTTTAACACACTCTGTTAGCTTAGATAATTTAGAAGTTTTATCTGGTCTTGTTGAGATATATACTTGAGTATCATCAGCATAACAGTGGACACTAATCCCGTCTTTTCTAATAATATTACCAAGGGACAACATGTACAGGTATATTGAAAATAGCAGAGGATCTAGGACAGATCCTTGTGGCACTCCATATTTTACTGGTGATAATTGAGATTGAGATAATTGACTCCCCGTTTAAATGAACAAAGTGGTAGCGATCGGACAGGTAGGATCTAAACCATCTTAAAGCCTGCCCTTGAACACCTGTATAGTTTTGTAATCGATCTATGAATATGTCATGATCATAGTGTCGAATGCAGCACTAAGGTCAAGTAAAACTAGCAATGAGATGCAGCCTTGGTCTGACGGAAGAAGCAAGTCTTTCTATGCTATGGTGGGGCCTGAAACCTGACTGAAGTTCTTCATAGAGATATTTTTTTTGCAGGAAGGAGCACAGTTGAGCAGACAAAACTTTTTCAAACATTTTAGACATAATTGGAAGATTTTAAATGGGTCTGTAATTTGCCAGTTTGCTGGGATCTTGTTGTAACCACCAGCTTGAATGGTTTTGGGACATGACCTAAAGACAACGACGAGTTAATAATATAATTAGTGCATATGACCTGTAAACTATATTCCAGTTAAACAGCATTGACTGAGAAAAATATTGAAAGCTCAGAAACCTCGAAACAGGTGATATTTCAGTGTTTTTGATAGATTTATGAAGTGAAGTAGTCATCCATGTTCCATGGATGACTACTTCAGTTCATAAATCTATCAAAAACCCTTAAAGTTTCTCATTTGCATTATTCAGATAAAATGGTTGTTCTCCCCATCCAGTCATTTCCCAATGGATAAAAACTCTCACCTTAGCTTTTATTCCACTCTGACACACAGTTAATGCACCGGTGGCCGATGTGACAGTATAATGAGTTCTTATTTCTCCACAGGTGCGGTCTGTACCACTGTTCGTCCCACGATCGACGAGTGTCCGGATGACTGCAGTGACCAGGGTCGCTGTGTAGATGGCAAATGTGTGTGTTTCCCAGGATTCAGTGGGCCTGACTGCAGCATGCCAGACTGCCCTGATGACTGCAGCAGCCGGGGCCGATGTGTGAACGGCCAGTGTGTGTGTGACCCAGGCTTTACCGGCCCTGAGTGCTCCTCCAGCACATGTCCTGATCTTGACCTGGTAAGGACTCTAGCCGCTGCATTTTGGACTACCTGTTGCTTGTTTATTGAAGATACAGGACAACCAGCAAGCAGTGCATTACAATAGTCCAGTCTAGAAGTCATGAATGCATGAACTAGCTTTTCTGCATCAGAAACAGGTAACATGTTGCATCAGAAACAGGTAGCTTGGCAATGTTTCTAAGATGGAAAAATGCTGTTTTTGTAACATGGGAAATATGATTTTCAAAGGACAAGTTGCTGTCTAATATAAAACCCAGATTTTTCATTTTTGGTCAATTCATCTCATTTTGGTTTTTGGTCATCCAATCATTTACATTTTTAACACACTCTGTTAGCTTAGATAATTTAGAAGTTTTATCTGGTCTTGTTGAGATATATACTTGAGTATCATCAGCATAACAGTGGACACTAATCCCGTCTTTTCTAATAATATTACCAAGGGACAACATGTACAGGTATATTGAAAATAGCAGAGGATCTAGGACAGATCCTTGTGGCACTCCATATTTTACTGGTGATAATTGAGATTGAGATAATTGACTCCCCGTTTAAATGAACAAAGTGGTAGCGATCGGACAGGTAGGATCTAAACCATCTTAAAGCCTGCCCTTGAACACCTGTATAGTTTTGTAATCGATCTATGAATATGTCATGATCATAGTGTCGAATGCAGCACTAAGGTCAAGTAAAACTAGCAATGAGATGCAGCCTTGGTCTGACGGAAGAAGCAAGTCTTTCTATGCTATGGTGGGGCCTGAAACCTGACTGAAGTTCTTCATAGAGATAATTTTTTTGCAGGAAGGAGCACAGTTGAGCAGACAAAACTTTTTCAAACATTTTAGACATAATTGGAAGATTTTAAATGGGTCTGTAATTTGCCAGTTTGCTGGGATCTTGTTGTAACCACCAGCTTGAATGGTTTTGGGACATGACCTAAAGACAACGACGAGTTAATAATATAATTAGTGCATATGACCTGTAAACTATATTCCAGTTAAACAGCATTGACTGAGAAAAATATTGAAAGCTCAGAAACCTCGAAACAGGTGATATTTCAGTGTTTTTGATAGATTTATGAAGTGAAGTAGTCATCCATGTTCCATGGATGACTACTTCAGTTCATAAATCTATCAAAAACCCTTAAAGTTTCTCATTTGCATTATTCAGATAAAATGGTTGTTCTCCCCATCCAGTCATTTCCCAATGGATAAAAACTCTCACCTTAGCTTTTATTCCACTCTGACACACAGTTAATGCACCGGTGGCCGATGTGACAGTATAATGAGTTCTTATTTCTCCACAGGTGCGGTCTGTACCACTGTTCGTCCCACGATCGACGAGTGTCCGGATGACTGCAGTGACCAGGGTCGCTGTGTAGATGGCAAATGTGTGTGTTTCCCAGGATTCAGTGGGCCTGACTGCAGCATGCCAGACTGCCCTGATGACTGCAGCAGCCGGGGCCGATGTGTGAACGGCCAGTGTGTGTGTGACCCAGGCTTTACCGGCCCTGAGTGCTCCTCCAGCACATGTCCTGATAACTGCAACGACAGGGGCCGCTGCGTGAACGGCAGGTGCGTGTGTGACGCTGGCTTTACCGGGCCTAACTGCGGGATACGGGGCTGTCCGGATAACTGTAACAACCGGGGCCGCTGTGTGAATGGAAAATGCGTGTGTGACTCAGGATTCACTGGTCAGGACTGCTCAGAGATGTCCTGCCCGAGGAAGTGTAATGGCAGGGGCCGCTGTGTGAGCGGACAGTGCGTGTGTGATCCTGGCTTCTCTGGGCCGGACTGCTCTGTAGAAACATGTCCTAATAACTGCAGCAATCGTGGACAGTGTGTAAACGGGAAGTGTGTCTGTGAGAGTAGCTTTACGAGCCCCGACTGTTCATCCAGATCTTGTCCTGGAGACTGCAGTAACCACGGCAGATGCGTCGACGGCCGGTGCGTGTGTGATAGCAGTTTTACTGGACCAGACTGTTCGTCCAAGACTTGTCCCAATGACTGCAATACCAAAGGCAGATGTGTGAATGGGAAATGTGTCTGTGATGTGGGCTTCTCCGGTCAGGACTGCTCCACCAAAACCTGCCCCAACAACTGCAGTAACAAGGGCCGCTGCGTGAGGGGCCGCTGTGTGTGTCGTCGTGGTTTCTCGGGGCCCGACTGCAGAGAATGTCAGTCTGGGTTTACAGGGGAAAACTGTGACACTGGTGAGTGATGCTGCATTCAATCACAAGTCATTCTGCAGCCCCTATGAAAGATTGTTGAGGGCCCCTTGTTGAGAACCCTTGCACTATAGAACATGAAAAAGTCTCATATTGTGTTGTTGGGGGGGGGGATGTATTATTATTTTCACCTTCAAATTAAAAATTGGCACCAAACTTCTGTCCCATGTAATTGTAATTACCATTGTAATTGTCCCATGCCCACAGAACCGTACATAGGAAAGCACACAGACAGAACATTAAGCACAGCAGAAACTCCAATCTTCTGCCCAACTTTCCAAATTTGCACTCATGTTTATGCTAATAACTTGTAATTACCATTGTAATTGTCCCATGCCCACAGAACCGTACATAGGAAAGCACACAGACAGAACATTAAGCACAGCAGAGTTGGACACTCAAACTCCAATCTTCTGCCCAACTTTCCAAATTTGCACTCATGTTTATGCTAATAACTTTTGAAAATTCTTTATTCCAGCTGTTTTAGTCACGCTGTTCTTAAATAACACACTAATTAATGAATGTGCATGTGAGGCTGCTTAAAGAACTTGAACCAGACTTATGTGATCCATCTTATGGATATCGTGCATTCATTTGTAACTTGAAGGAGCAAGGCTTCTGGTGTCATCCCCTTCCAGTTATTTGAGCTGTTAAAAAATTATATATATATATATATATATAATCAATTTGGTATGCTGCTTCATATTTCAAATTATATTATCTATCATATTATTTTTATTTATTAACTGATGATCCGATTTTCACCAGATTCCATTCGAATCATCTTCAGACCATGCTGGCAAAAAGTTCTTGATTTCATGTTGATGACATGATGCCAAACTGCATCAGACTGTATCTCTGAAATGGTGTGGCATATTAACACAAGCTTTATGTGTGTCAGTCACCTCACACTGACCACACCACATCAGTTTGATAACATCGCCACCTATTGGTAAAAAATGATAAGCAATTAAATCACATAACAATTGGCTGTTTTTTGCAATTAATTGCTGCTTGCAGCTATTGTGTATTTATAATTATTTTCATCTTACTTTATATGCAACACATACATCTATAATAACATCTCAAAAATACGTTTTAGTCATTCATGACCCTTTAAGAGTGTCAAGCCATATTTTGGAACCTATTCATGGAAAGTGACAGCCATATCAGATTTTTACAGCTTCGTACTATGTCTACTTTTTCCACTGGGTAGGATCAGATGGTATAACAGTTCTACAGATACAGACACTTTAAATAGCATCTTTATATTCCATTTGGAGTTGTTTAAATAGTCTACACATATGGTAACACGCCAACATTATATGTTGTATTGCCCTAAGTGTTCACTGTCTTTATGAGTGCTCTTGGTGAGTGAATACAGCAGTGGGTCAGCAGTACTCAGACATACAGCACTGCAGTTATTGTTTCAAGTAGAAACAGCTGGGTTTAAATAGGAGAGTGTGCTTGAATCTGTTTCATCTTCTGTCCAGCAGTGGCGGGCGTCTCGCGTCTCAGTACCAGGGACATCACTGAGTCATCTGTCGCTCTGTCCTGGACTCCACCTGCTGTGCAGTACAACACCTACCACATCTCCTTCACCAGCAGGGCAAGTACAGTCATCCGCATGCACTACCACACATCTGCAACAACATTACACAAATGCATTATGATACATTGCATGATAAGCATAATAAGCACTTATTTCATTATCAGCTCTTCAAAAGGACAGATGGGTGAACAATAGCAGTAGATGTTCAACCCGGGAACACATGAGGTCACTTCCATGCTGCCCTGACAGGACAAAGACTTCTCGTAATTTTGAGTAAATCTCATGAAAACTGTCAGGAACATATTCCACCCCAAAACAAACAAGTATAATTATAGTTTGAATAAAGAAAATGAATCATATTATTGATAATCATTACACATCTTACACATTATCATTCATTTCTGCCTTTATTGGGACAGACCAGTGTAAATAATGGAGAGGAAGCAAAGTGGAAGAGCGAGAGAGAGATGAGGGACGGGATTGAGAAAGGACGATGAGTGGCAATGTAACTGCACTACATGTCAGAGACATATACTGCCATGAGACTATCAGCTCCCGTGTTTGCTCTCTTATTAGCAGTGGCATGAGCTCAGACCCTTCAAACACTTCAGAGATGGAGTGAACAGGATTTCACACTTTCAGTAAAACCCTTATGCATTTAACAATAAAATATACAATGCCAACATAGTGGAATGTGAAAATGATAGATTATTTCAAATGTAGTATTATTTCAATTAATTATTGAATTAATAATTTAAGAATTTATACATTTTAGTAACATTTGATGAGTAGCCTTTGGTTTATGTTGATTTAAAATAAATTAATTAATTAATTTAACCGTAAATGAGAATCACCCACTTTTTCCCCTCTTCTGAGATCAGATACAGAAAAGCATTTAACAACTCCCACAGCAGCCCAAACTTAAATCTGGCTCAGTGTGTTTTCCAAAGGAAAAACAAATACATTTTTACACAGACATAAAATGAGCCCAATCTGGCAGTGGAAAAACAAGCTATTTGCTTTGGATAGAAGCCTTGTTTTGATTTACAGCCCTCTGAATGTTTAGTGCCCATCTCTCCCTCAGCAACCATCTCAGTGTTACTGAAACCATATCAATCGCCCATCTCTACGAGTGATTATATAAAGTCAAGTTTTGTTAGGGAGCTTCTGAGCGTTATTAGACGTTTCATTTCTGGACCAGGAAGAGGGAGGCTTTTGCAGGAGAGCCGAGGGAGCTAGACTGAGATGAGGCTAATTATTACAGCATTTATGCTGCAGCACAGGTTTGATTCATGAGTGCAGGCAGTTTAAGAGCACTGGAAAGACATTGGTTATTAGTTTTGAATTTACTTATTTTTTTTTTTAGTTTGATTTATTATCAGTTCAGTTTTTATTTCAAAGACATGTTTGTATTTGGATAGCTTGTAATCTTGCTCAGTAATTCACCTGTGCTCTTGTGATGTTAAGTGCTCAGGTACGAGCCCTGTGAGTCACGATAAAAGAGCTCAAAGACTTGTAGAAGCAAGATAAAATGCATATACAGTATATTTTTACAGCACATTTGCTTTTGTTAACACTATCAGTTAGGTTTAGGGGTGGGTTTAGTGTAACTGCTACGCTATTTTCACACATGATAGAGCAAGTTCGTCTTTGCAGAAAATTTTATTCACTTTGAAAGTGCAAGAAGGAAGGTAGAAATATCACAACAGCCTCAACCAGAAATTTTGCCACAGTTGACCATTTTAGTGACCACTCTTACACTGCCAACAGTGCAGACTTGTTCTTCTTTCACCAAGATTCTTTTGTTAATGTCTTACTAAAAAAGAAAGTTCAGCCTCCGCCCTGAAAACACATCACAATGCATGCCTAAATTGAACAAATATACAAAATTGTGTTGTAAATATCCCTTCATATTAAACCACTGTAGTACCACGTCTGAATTGCAACAGTATCTTTGCTAGGAAAACCCCTACTTATAATTGTAATGGAATTACCATACAGGCTTTCTTAACTGAGGGGTTTGTTGCAACCAGCTGCTGGACTACAGTGATGTTTCAGCTCAGTTTGATGGCCTGTTTCTGTCAGCAGTTTTTCATTAAGAAACATATGCTATCAATCTGCTGTGGGGTGGTGATGTAAGCACTATCAACGAGGGACTGCAGCAGGCTCATCAGATGCTTCAGGAATGAAATATGATGATGCTGTAATCTCTGAAATATCCTGACATGCTGAAACTCTTATTTTCGCATGCGACAGTATTTGAATCATTTCAGTCTAATCCGCTGCTCTCAGACAGCTTCCTAAAAAGTTTAAAAGCCCAAAAAAGAGCACAAGAGGAGAAGTCTAATAATCATGTAAAGTCAAGTCATCTTATTTCAATAGCGGTTCAAAGTTCAGTTTAATCAATCAGTTCAGCACAATGAACGTCCTTCTTG